ATCCAGAAGATTTTTCTTAAATGGAATTTACGAATATGTAATAAACACAAGTAATATTATATTTCATTCCTTCCGCAAATTATCTAATTATTATTATGTATGATTTACGAAATTCATTTTCAGGTATTATTGAAAATTCGGGTATTATTGAAAAATTGTTGGTGGGACTCGTCGACTTTACCTCAACTGACTAGACTACTAAAAACTTTATTTTTGAAAGCTGGACCAGTTTGGAATTAGTTATAAACAGAAGATTATTATTATTTTCATCACATTTAATTATGTAGGAACGCAGAGATTAAAGTATATCACGAGGATAATAATAAGAACGATATACAGACTTGCTGTTGGCTATACTGCTGATTGAGCTAATCGTCGATTAAGTTAATCGGCGTTGGTAACAGTCGCCCTAAGTAGTTTTAAACAATCTTGCCTTGCATTAATTGGCAGTTACTGTTTTTACTTCTTATACATTCATATAATAATTATACTATGTTTATAGTATTTTTTATCAATCTCGAGGAGGTTCGACCTTGTACGTACATTATTATGTAACTTATAATTTAAAGATACGATTCATGATGCATTTCTTGTCGAGGTTTTCTTGTGGTCTCAGATGGAATTTACGAAAAGATGTTTGAAACAAAATTTGGAACTTTGTTAAATTCATTCACGTATGGTTTACAGAACATGTACAAAGTTCCAAATTTTGTTCCAAACATCTTTTCATAAATTCCATTTGAGACCACAAGAAAACCTTTATTTTTGAAAGCTGGACCAGTTTGGTTAATTTATTAGGTGTACAACTTTGCTTCCGCCGTTTTCCTATAGATGGCTTCAGCGGTAAGTGATGGTCGAAATAAATAGATCATAGACGTCATATAATAAACTTGGGTATTTGTCAACATAACCCCATAGAAATATTAGTCGATTTGTGTCTGGCTCATAAAGTTATTCTCGATTGAAAATCTCAGTTTACGAGCCAAATTCTCGTCATTTGCGGGAAGTTTTAATTTTCTGCTTCAATATGAAGAAATCTGCGGTTGAGGCTCATCGAATGCTCTCAAATACTTATGGTGAGGCTATTAGTGAAAGAACGTATCGTGAGGTTTCAACGCTTCAAGAACGGTGATTTTGACATCGAAGACCGGCATAGCGGTGGAAGAGAGAAGGTTTTCGAAGATGCAGAATTGGAGGTATTACTTGATCAAGACTCGTATCAAAATCAAGAAGAATTGGCACGATCATTCGAAGTGACTCAACAAGCCATTTCAAAACGCCTCAAAGTCATGGGAATGATTCAGAAGCAAGGAAATTGGGTGCCGTACGAGTTGAAGCCGAGAGATGTTGAACGGCGTCTGTTTGCTTGTGAACAGCTGCTTGAAAGGCAAAGACGGAAGGGATTTCTGCATTGTATTGTGACTGGAGACGAAAAATGGGTTCATTACGATAACCCCAAGCACAGAAAATCATGGGAGAGTTCCCGGCCATGCTTCCACGTCGACGGCCAAACCGAATATTCACGGCTCCAAGGTCATACTCCGTATTTGGTGGGACCAGCTCGGCGTAGTGTATTATGAACTGTTAAAACCTACTGAAACAATCACAGGCGATCGGTATCGAACGCAATTGATGCGTTTGAGCCGAGCATTGAAAGACAAACGGCCGCAATGCAACGAGAGACACGATCAAGTGATTTTGTAGGATGACAATGCTGGACCCCATGTTGCGAAAGTGGTCAAGACACACTTGGAAACGTTGAAATGGGAAGTCCTACTCCACCCGCCGTATTCTCCAGACGTTGCTCCCTCTATCACTTGTTTCGATCAATGGCATACGGCCTGGCTGACCAGCACTTCCGGTTTTATGAAGAAGTAAAAAATTGGATCGATTCGTGGATCGCCTCAAAAGATGACTAGTTTTTTCGACGCTGGATTCGTATGCTGCCCGAAAGATGGGTGAAAGTAGTGGCCAGCGATGGATAATATTTTGAATCATAAATGTATAACCAGTTTTTTACAATAAAGCCTCGAATTTCGGAAAAAAAACGGCGAAAGCAAAGTTGTACACCTAATACATTCATATCTTAATACTATGTTATTTATCGAGATCGAGATCTAGCATCGCCAAATGTTTTTACATGAAAAATTTTTCTATTTAAATTAAATTTTTTCATTTTATACGGTTAACTCTTTAATTTTTGTGATAACACTTAAATTGAGCAAGGTAATGCAACTTTGTGATAACTCTTTGTATATTATTTTGAAAGAGAATTAAATACCCACTACTTTAATTGGAAGAGAAAATATCTTTGTGTGTGAATAAATTGTGATATAATAATGTCATTTAAGAGGAATTTAAATCGTTTGGATTGGAATAGAAAGATCCTTCAATAAGATATACGTACACTTAGGTTTCATTGTATAAAAATTAAAGATAGTATTATTTGGATTAAGTAAATAAAGAAATGGGATTTGGCGCTAGTTCTTGATATATCAAACCCTTTATAGGAATGATACATATCATTAAAGTCAATATTATTTATTTAATTTGGTATGTGAATTATATGGAATTTAACTTTGCGCCAATTATTGATATCAAATCTTTTTTACGATCGATACACAAAATTTTGAAGAATTTAACTTGGCGCCAATTTTGTTGATATCAAATCTTTTATATGAATGATACATAATTAGAGTTAAGTAATATTATATACAAAGGACCGGTTTCACCAACCCGATTAAGCCGAATCAACCATAAGTGTCAACCATAAGTGGTCAATTCCACTAAACAGCAAACGCGATTAGTCAGTTCCATGGTGAATTAGGTAATTGGCGTTTTGGTGAAACCGGCCCAAATAATTTTTACGAAAAATACGCTCGCTTAGCGCTTTTTTTACCTTTTTTAAAATAATCATTACATGAATTACATTGGAATCAATTTGCTGGATGGCAACCGATTGCTTCCCCACTACTTTGTTACCCCTTCCTATAACACACTATTCCCCTTCTCCTTAATGGTAGAGATCTTCTTGATAACATATATATTATAGAAGTTACAACGTTAAGCTCATTTGATTTTAATCACTGATAATAAGAACTTGACAAGAATACATCTTCCATAGTAAATTATCAGACGAAATTTCAAAATATAGGTAATGTTATAATTTGTATACTTTTATTAAAGATTTAGCTCTATAACTGAAAAAAAAAATTTATAACTGGATATTTATTTTAGTCTGAAAACTATAAAATATCTTATAAAGTAATGATATTAAATTGAATTGACAAGTAAGATCGCATTTGGTGGATATTATCATTTAATCGAAAACTAACTATGGATTAAAATCTCATTGACAGGAGGATATTAAGTAATTTAAAAAATTACAGTATAATGTTGAACTGTGACAAACTATAAGCGCAAATAATTTATAATATTATTGTTAATGTATGAATGTAATATTGAAGATGGTCATATTCAAGGCTGAAACGTTTATTTTTTGTTAACCATATGTCTTTTTGTTAATTTTTATAATTTATGTCTATTTATTAATTTTTGTAAATTTTATACTTGAATATATGTATTATTTTCACTAACAAGATCTAGTGTGGCAATTGCTCAACCTTCGTATTGTTTATTTCGTAGCCACGTATTTGATGATAATTTTCTTATACAGGTCAATCTTAACAGTCATGTAAGTTGTTTTTTTAACCATTTTTCGCGTATAATTTCATGTTAGCCTATTTAAATTATTTTTTAATCATTACTGTAGGTCGTTTCAAAACAAAAAAATCTTTTTCTTTTTAGTATTAAGAAAAATTGCGCTAATTGATAACCAGCGTCGACTCCTATTGCCTGTATTACATATTTAATGATTTTATTAATTTTTCTTTTTAGTTAACTTAATAATTTGATGACCAAGATTAACTCGGATACCACCATAGTTAACTCACCACCATAGTTTTTTCGTATTTTATATGTTAATAATTTATACTTGTATGCGATATCACTATTTAATTTTGTTAATATATTTTTTGTACTGAAGAGAACCTTGATCGTAGGTCGAAACGTATACACTGAACCAAAAATGTACGTAAATACAATAAAAGTATTCATTGATATTAATAAAAAATTCATTAAAATTGGTCCAATGAACAATTTTATTCCTATAATGATTTAGGTTTTATAAAATGATCAATTTGAGTTATTAAA